AATTCTATGATTAACCTCATCCTTCATAAATCCATCCGCCAACACATCAACTCCCAAGTATCTGAAAACATTCACTGAAATAAATCTTTCCAGATTTGTGGAGAAACATCACCCTGACAAGGCTGTTGCAAGAAATGTTGGCAACATGTACAGTGACAAAGTCTTGGCCCATTTTAGGGAAGTGTTAAAGAGACGCCAGAAACAGAGCTCTCTGGACAGTTATTTTGCGAGACAGGACTCCACTGACTCTCAAGATGGTCCTAGTGGCATTAAGAAACAGAGAAGAGAAGTAACCCCAGAAAAGCAATTGGTACCCGAGGTGTTGATGGAAGGGGATTCCCCTTCCAAACTGTAAATAATCCAATCTCTCTCCTCCTCCAGTCTTCCATACACTAAGAAGAATCGCCAATAAAGGTAAGTGTTATGCTGTTAATGTTTCATTCATCATGTCCCATTGTATTGTTTATGTATTACATCTATATTTCATGTAAAAAATTTTTTTGTTTTAATACTTCTGGGTGTCAGGAACGGATTAATTGTATTTACATTATTTCTTATGGGGAAAATTGATTCGAAAATCATAGATTTCGATAATAGTAACACCTCCAGGAACGGATTAATTATGATAAACGAGGGACCACTGTATTCTGTTTATTTCAATATACAGTAAACTACTGTATAAACATTTAAAAATATACCAGAAATGTTATAAATGGTGCAAAGGTGACATTAAAACAATATCAAAGATGGTTGACACAAACTCACTTCGTACCATTATAGTATGCTCCTTAGCGACGAATTCATTTAATGATGTGGTCTTAGGAATGGAACTCCATCGTTAAGTAAGGAGAGGCTGTACGTTATTTATGTCAGCTAGGCCTGTATACCTTGTACATGTGCTTGTAGAAATAGAGATATTATTATATAGATGTTTTTCCAGTCGTCTTGTTGGAAAGAATAACATTTTCTCTAGTTCAACACCAAAGAAAATGTGTACACAATAGTATTACTTGGGGTAACTGTAGAAAATTATTCTTTTCGTATGCCTTCCCTCAGAGCGTCATTCCTTCTAAAAATTAATTTGCATGAGAATGGGAGTGTTGCTCTTTATTCTACTGTACCATCATGGAGACAACTTGTACACAATGTAAGGTGTTTGTATTATAGTATAGCTTCACAAACACGGAAGTAAGTCACTGACTTTTTTGGATTATTCTAGGTAATGTACACATATGCTGCTATGTAAGATAATCTACCTATCTGTATTTATGTGTATCCCGTATCTGAATAAAAACTTACTCACTCGCAAACATGGAAATGAACGTGTATCAGCCATAACAAGACACGTTTGTCTGCTTGTTTACATACTCTGCGTCTCTGTCCTTTCTCTTTTACTCATTCTCTCTCTCTCCTCTCACCCTAATTAAGACTAGATATTTTAAGGTAAGTAATGGGTGTACTGCATATGCATATCATTGCTCAAGGGCGCTTTAAATGTATATTACATGAGGGTGGGGCAGCCATACCTACCACACTTACCATAACTACCAGACCTGACCTCTTAAAATAAATACTACTGTACGTTAGTAGTATACAGTGGACCCTCGGTTATCAGCCGTAATCCGTTCCAGAAGTTCAGCCTAAAACCGAAATGGCCTAAAACCAAAATAATATTTCCCATAAAAATTAATGTAAATACAATTAATCCGTTCCAGATAAAAATATTCGCAAAAAAATATTTTTTTTTTAACAATCAAATCAGTATTACATACCTGTATTGAAGACTAATGCTGGCTTCTGGAATGCCTGCTACACTCCCTGCATGCCTGTACACTCCCTGCATCCCTGTACACTCCCTGCATGCCAGCTACACTCCCTGCATGCCAGCTACACTCCCTGCATGCCTGCTACACTCCCTGCATGCCTGCTACACTCCCTGCATGCCTGCTACACTCCCTGCATGCCTGCTACACTCCCTGCATGCCTGCTACACTCCCTGCATGCCTGCTACACTCCCTGCATGCCTGCTACACTCCCTGCATGCCTGCTACACTCCTGCATGCCTGCTACACTCCCTGCATGCCTGCTACACTCCCTGCATGCCTGCTACACTCCCTGCATGCCTGCTACACTCCCTGCTGCCACCCCGCTTTCACTCCCTGCATGCCTGCTACACTCCCTGCATGCCTGCTACACTCCCTGCATGCCTGCTTTCACTCCCTGCATGCCTCTACACTCCCTGCATGCCTGCTACACTCCCATGCATTGATGCCTGCTACACTCCCTGCATGCCTGCTACACTCCCTGCATGCCTGCTACACTCCCTGCATGCCTGCTACACTCCCTGCATGCCTGCTACACTCCCTGCATGCCTGCTACACTCCCTGCATGCCTGCTACACTCCCTGCATGCCTGCTACACTCCCTGCATGCCTGCTACACTCCCTGCATGCCTGCTACACTTCATGCTTAAATTCCATGGTGTTTCTCACTTTCTTTACCACAGGAACTTTACTAGGAACTTCCTTGAGAGCAATGGTTATTTGTTTTGCAGTTGCACTGCAAAAAAAAACTCACAAAAAAAATTGAAAACAAGCGAAATGTTTGGATATATGAACAGAAGCTTCCTCACGCACTGAGTGACACGGCCAAACTGACTTGCAAGCGCCCCAGCCGGCGGATGGACACGTCCGAAATGGCCGATCACCGAAATAACGGCTGATCACAGAGTTGGCCGATAACAGGAACAGCCGATAACCGAGGGTCTACTGTACAATACCAACAAGATGAAAAATTAGACACGTGCAACATCTGGGTATCTTTATTGTAGACGTTTTGCCATCCAGAATCTTCACGACTATGGTGCTCTTCACACCAACTCCAAGGCTGAGGGACTGATTACCTCATCTTTTGTATAGTTCTTCTGTCTTCCAGTTATGCCCTTGAATTTGTGTTGATAAAGCCACTGGATGGCAAAACGTCTACAATAAAGATACCCAGATGTTGCACGTGTCTAATTTTTCATCAATAAATACTACTTACCTCTCACCCTACATTAAGACTACAAATATTTTAAGGTAAATAATGAGTGTGCTGATAAATGCACATGCATGCATTTATTACATGTAAACTATACTTTGTATACTACAAAGAAATTGTGTACGTTTACTTAAAAAAAAAAAATAAACTTTACAATACCGTTCCATAACTCGATGCATGGCTATTTTAATATCTCAAAAATATTTATGTATATTTTAAGGATAAATGTAAAAATTTTAATGCAGATGAAGTATTTATTGGAAATGTTAATAAATTTGTACGATTGTAAACAACTGCAATGAGTAAAAACTTTATACGGTATTTCAACACTAAACTAAACCCTCTAAACATTTTGCACTAAGCTATATTTTGGTACATTCATATATATGCCATGGCTTATAAGCATTCAGTCAAATCTGTCTTAAAAATAAAATAAAAACAATAAATTTATCTTGTGTGTTGATAAATATATTCACAGGAATTAACATGGTATGCAAATTAATATTTTTTACAGAAATTAACTTAGCAACCTAACTTTGCTAAAATTAAAATTGTACAATACAACTTAATCCTACCCAGACAAAACAAAGCTAAATTTAGCACAGTTAATTTTGTGATGTTCGAATTGAGTTTCAGTTACTCCAAGACTTGAATCTAAGCATAGGTTTCCTGTAAAAAATTATGTTTGCCAAAAAAGCAAAGACCATAGGTTCAGCATAAAAAGAATGACATGTGCATTTTAACTCAGATTACAGTGAACTCTACTCTTCATTATTATTGCAACAATTTGCCAAGAAATACCCCAGTACTACCCTGTGTCCTTTCTGCATTACTGTATCTCAGACTGCAAGTGTGGGCTCTTGCTCTTCCTCAATTGTGCCAAAAATCATCAATTTTATCACATCCTTTCAAGATTTTACAGTATATGTAATTATATCTTTTTTTCCAATCAGCAATTTTTCACATACATCTTTTGCATGTCTTCTTTGACCATCAAAGAAGCTTAATGGGATTTGATACAGAACACTAACTTTAAATAAAAAAAAAATATCAAAAATTAAGTTTAGCAAGAGTAGTACAAGCAGACTGCTCATTCCCAATAATCATGCATGTATTACTAGATTCTCAAGTTACCCTCTTGTCCCTGTCTGCTCTTCAAACCCATGTACAGTAAACCCTCTCTATAATGGACTAATTGGGAGAGTAGGTGGCTAGTAATGGCAATTGTGGTAGATAGAGAAGAGATTAACTTGATGTGATTGTAACAGGGAACAATTCTGTGACCAAAGATTTTGTCCATTGTTTCTAAATCTATTGACCCATTAGATTTTGTTCCATATTTTCAGAGTGCACTAAATAAAGGTCTGTTAAATGGAGGGATTGTTATTGCACAGACAGGCTAGCAACTCTTGCATCTTTTGGACCAAAGGTTGAACAGAAGCATACTAAGTCAGAGCAACAAAGCATGTTAGGAATCAGTATGCAGTGAACAGGGATTCAATTAAGCCAAGAATCCGAATGAAAACAACGAGGATTGTGTGAAGCTTCGCAGTGAATGGAGGACTTTCATGGTAACTGTGCAAAAGTCCTCACAAACAATTACTACAAAGCCACCACCACCCTCACTCTGACCTATTAGTAAACACCCATTTAGAACAAGTGCTGAAGGGGTATAATGTTAGAAAATTATTTCCAATTGTAACAGTATAACCATAATGGAAAAACAATAATATATAACTAATTAGCATATATATCAGTAATAAGGGTAAGAGATAAGCTCATCAGTTGGAGAATTTATTGTACAAATCAGCCATTGGTAATATTTAAGAAAGCATTACTAGCTACAGTATCTATAGTGGCTGTTGAATTAGAAGAGCTTGAAAGTACTGACATTTATATTCTTATGGTTGGAGCTTCAACATGCACTACAGTTCCTGGCACTTCAAGTAGTGTCAATGGCTGAATGGTGTACATCTAGTATACAAATAAAATTAATAGCACTGCAATATAGGAAAGGGCAACACCTTTGCGAAGTACCAACTTTTTTTTTTTTTTTTTTAATTTGCCATGGTATTTTTTCATTTTAAAAATATAAATAGATAGTAGCCAGAACTCTAATTTTGATTCACTGTACAAGATCTTGCCAATCTGTAACCAAGGTGTTTCAGAGTAGGTTTTTGCTTTCCAAGTCTTTAATCCATTCTTCTCAAACAACTTCTTCCAGAATTTTCAACGCCATGTACATATACATTATTATTATTATTATAATCAGAGAAAGCATTAAACCGACAAGGGTCATACAGTACTGCAGGGCAGAAAACAGTGCTGGGGATATAAACAGCTAGGTGGAAAGGGGATCAGAGGTGAGGAGAGAAAAGGGCTGGAGGGGACGCAAAGTGTTATATGTCAAAGTTCATACAGTACAGCAGTTGCTGGCAAAGTCAAAAAGTGATTGTAGGTCAAAGGTAGGGTCGTCTGCAAGAAGGAAAAATAAGTTAAGAGTGGTAGGGCGATGGTGGCATTGAAAGCAAATCCTGTGAGCTTGCTGGAAACCAGGCAATCTACAAGAACCGAAATAGGGACTCGACAAACCTCACAGAGAGGAATAGGGTGACATTCCATGAGATATCCATGGGTAAGGCAAGTATGGCCAATGCGGAGACGAGAGAGTGCAGTCTCTTGAGTATGGCAACTGTGGTAAGAAGCTGGGCACAAACCTAAAAGCGGTTTAACAGAGTGCAAATTGTTATGGTGCATGGCCAACCACCGTTGTTACCAACGGCCGCGAAGACAGGCCAAGACGACCAGAAAATAATCTCTGAACGGAAACCAGAAGATCGTGCACCACTGACCGCACACCAGCATTTGCTTGCTCACTGACCTGCAAATCAATGTGTCCAGGGACCCAAAAGAAAACGATGTCCTTGTTTTTGCTAGCCCCACAGCGCAACCACAGTTGAATACGAAGGACTAATGGATGAAGGGAATCCAATTGTTTAATGGTTTGTTAGGCACTGAGGGAATCTGAAATGATCACAAACATTGAAAGAGACATATGTAATATGGAGAAGCGCTACGAGGATGGCATAGAACTCGGCAGTAAAAATACCAGCAGAGTAAATGTCCTCTGACAATATCGTCAGGGAACACCGCTGCGAACCCAACACCATCAGAAGATTTAGAACCATCTGTATAAACAGCAACAGCATAAGCATGCAATTGGAAGTGATCAAAAAACAGAGCAGGAAGCAGTCATACGCAGGGGAGCTTTGGCGCAGAACAGTAAGGGAGAACAGACACGAACTGTCGGAACCTCCCAAGGGGGAAGGGAAAGGGCAGACACTAAATGAACATACAGGAGAGGCAAGTGGAGAGAAGACCATAGTGAGTAAAGACGAAGAGAAAACGGTCGGAGTAAGCAGGGGCATCGAACAAATAACGGGCTTTTACTAGTGTCTGAGACCAACCTATACGTAGACAGAACACGAAGGTCACGAGAGCAGACAAAGTAACAAAGGCAATGAGCATCACGGCAATCAACTAAGGAAGGAACATTCACCTCAGCATAGAGGCTTTCAACAGGGGATGAACGAAAGGCACCAAGGCATAAACGTAGGCCCTGATGGTGAAGGGGATCTAACCTAGAAAGAGCGGTAGGAGAAGCTGCAGAACAGACTTGGTCACCATAATCCAGCTTGGACAAGACTTGGGCGGAAGGCAAATGGAGGAGTCCGACGATCTGCTCCCCATGAACGTTGTGCAAGAATTTTAAGGAGATTCAGCCAACCATGGCAAGCTGCCTTCAAAGAGGAAATGTGAGGTTTCCAAGTCAACAGGCAATCGAAGAGAAGGCCTAGAAACCTGACCATGTCATGTTCAGGAATACGTAAGCCATGTAAATATAATGGAGTATCTGGGACAAGAGGACGTCTAGTGAAGGTAATGAAATGGATTTTCATACTAGAAAATTTAAATCCATGAGAAATGGCCCAATGGGAAACTTGGTCAATCGCATCCTGAAGGGAAGCCACTACCAGGCAACAGTCAGTGCCTGCGTAAGCTATAATGAAGCCATCCACAAAGTGATGACCAAATACAGTGGTCCCTCGTTTTTCGTAGTTCTCGGGAATCATAGATTTCGGAAATCACAGGGATATTTTCGTATAAACATGGGCTCGCTAATCGTAGGTTGACTCGCGAATAGTAGTTCGTCCGGGACACGTACGCACGGTGTGAGCCGGGGCGGCCTCCCTACCCAGCCAGTCTGGCATTGTTTACCAGTGAGCGAAGGTCCCGTCACATGCTCCTACGAAATATTTCGTAATATTCCACTCATTTTAGTGCTTGCAAGTACTAAATAAGCTACCATGGCTCCAAAGAAAGCTCCTAGTGCCAAGCCTGTGGTAAAGAAGGTGAGAAATAAGATTTAATTTAAGAAAAACATCATTGAACAATATGAAAGTGGCACAAGTGCGGCCGAACTGGCCAGGATGTATAAGAAACCCTACACAACCATATGTTCCATAGTGGCCAAGAAAAAGGAAATCAAGGACGCTGTTGTTGCAAAGGGGGTAACTATGCTGACAAAAATGAGATCACCAGTACTCAAAGATGTTGAGAAGTTATTATTGGTGTGGATAAACGAGAAACAATTAGCAGGAGATACTCTTATGACTTCGATTATTTGTACATGTTGCCATGTTGGCAACATGTACAGTGACAGTCTTGGGCCATTTTAGGGAAGTGTTAAAAAGATGCCAGGAACAGAGCTCTCTCCACAGTTATTTTGCGAGACAGGACTCCAGTGACTCTCAAGGTGGTCCTAGTGGCATTAAGAAACAGAGAAGAGAAGCAACCCTAGAAAAGCAATTGGTACCTGAGGTGTTGCTGGAAGGGGATTCCCCTTCCAAACTGTAAACAATCCAATCTCTCTCCTCCTCCAGTCTCCCATACACTAAGAAGAATCTCCAATAAAGGTAAGTGTTATGCTGTTAATGTTTCATTCATCATTTCCCATTGTATTGTTTATGTACTACATCTATATTTCATGTAAAAAATTTTTTTGTTTTAATACTTCTGGGTGTCAGGAACGGATTAATTGTATTTACATTATTTCTTATGGGGAAAATTGATTCGAAAATCATAGATTTCGATAATAGTAGCAACTCCAGGAACGATTAACTACGAAAAAAGAGGGACCACTGATGTGATGGAAGAACAGAAGGTAGGTCATTTATAGCCAAGAGAAAAAAGACCGTCCTAAGGACAACCTTGTGGAGCACCCTCGGCCTGAACAAAGTCTGAGGAAAGTGAGGTGCCAACACATACAAAAAATGTCTGTCAGATAAGAAAGCAGTAAGGAAAGCTGGTAGATTACCATGGAGGCCTTAGGAGTGGGCTTGGTCTAAAATGTTATACCTCCAAGTGGTATCATATGCCTTCTCAAGATCAAAAAAGACCACTAGGATGGAATGTTTGTTAGCAAAGGCATTTCACACATAAGTATCTAAGTGGAACAAGGGAGGCCCAAAGTAGAGCGGCCTTTGCGAAAGCCATATTGGTGAGGGGAAAGACTATTACGAGTCTCCAAGAACCATACCAGACGTCTATTCACCAATTGTTCCATCACCTTGCAGACTACACTGGTCAGGGCAATGGGACAATCATGAGAGATATCAAGCCCCGAGGTGCCTGGTTTGCGAAACAGCAGTACAATGGCAGATATCCATTGTTGAGGGAGAACCCCTAGTGCCCAAATAAGATTGAAAAGATGCAAAAGGACTGTAAGGGCCATAAAATGCAGATGTTGTAGCATACCAACATGAATATCACCAGGCCCAGGTGTATGTATACAGTCTGTAAAAAAAATGCATGCAAGTGTATATGCACTTACATACATGTACAATACTTGTGTAACCCTATACAAGCTTTCAAGAATTATAATGTACTTTATTCATTTAAAATCTGTGGCCAGGCTCATCTGGTGCTACGTGTAAAAAGTAAAACATTTTTTTATTTGTAGGTCACCCTGCCGCAGTGAGAGACGGCCACTGCGTCAAAAAAAAAAATATTAAATTCCAGCACTGTACATACATTGAATTTCATCATAATGCAAGAAAATTAGCTCAAGCAATTTTAAGCTTGCAATAAAAGTACAGTAATATTGAAATGAATGTACATTAAATTAATACAATGAATACACCCATTAAAATTCTGAAATACTGTGCATTAGTTGACTTCTTTCAAAGAAAGCACTACCATGAAGATTTTTTTTTTTTTACAGTTAAATGGTTCTATTCTTTTCATAAACCACCCAGCTCGTAGTGCGTCCTCAAATCTTCCAAATACTCTATTTTTTACCTAGTCTATACACTTGGATAGCAGCCTCATCATTGAGACAGATCCGTATCACTGACAATTTTATCAACGTTCACTTGTATGAGCCCAACTAATGCACATCACTTATGAGCAAGTTAAGAATTTTTAATGTATAATGTGACATTTGATGGTCAGATTATTTGCTAAGCCCTGAACATTTAGCAAATATTAACAAAGATACATTGCAACTCACTCCTGTACAGAAAGTTACCTAAAACATTTCTCCTCGAATACGTCGAACTAGCTTGATATCACGAGGATACACAGTTACTCTTCTGGCATGGATGGAACACAAGTTGGCCATTTCAAAAATGGCTACAATGTAACTTTCGGCTGCTTCTTGAAGTGCCATTAGAGCTAAAGTCTGGAATCTGCAAAGAAAATAATTATTTACTTTTCAAATAAGAAAAACCATTTAACTAATGTCATTTTTTTGCATTATAATTAACCCTTCCAGGGTACAGAGGCCAAATCTCAGTGTCAGCCAGGGTCCAAGATTTAAAAAAAAAAAAAAAAAAAAAAAAAAAAAAAAAAAAAAAAAAAGTCGCACCCCAAATCCTGAAATGTCTCCTGGTGTTGAAAAATATTTAAAAAAAAAAAATTCTAATTAAAATAAGATTAATTTGCTGATTGTTTTAACCCTTTCAGGGTTCAGAGGCCAAATCTCAAAGGGTGCACCAGGGCCCAAGAATTTTGGAGAAAAAAAAAATCTTACAGAATTAAAGATAATTTTCTGTAGGCAATAAAACCCGAAAAAAAATTTTCGATCAGTAGTTACCGAGATAGAGAGGTGTGACGTTGACCCTCAATGACCTGGTGGCGGCAACATCAGCGACTTCCATAAAGCCGCATTATTTTATTTTAGGTTTTCGTTGCTTTTTTCTTTTCTTTTCTAATATTTTTTCCCAGTAACTTTTGTGGCCTGTGAGACCAATATAATGCATAATGTATAAATGAACCCTCATTATATTCAACACAATAAATGAACTAATATGTTTATCATTAACAGACCAGCAAGGGGGAGGAACAGCTATATACTACTCAAATCAACTCGAATGTATCAATAAATCTTGCACAAGGGATGAACATGGAGAATATATCAAAGCCAAATTTAAATCAAAAGACCTGCAAAAAACCCTCACAGTTATAAACATCTACAGAGTACCACAGTCAAACATTTATCACTTTAGTGAAAAACTAAGAAACATGATTACTGATGCACACATGAATAAAGACCACCTACTACTAACAGGAGATTTCAACGTAAACATACTACACAACAAGGACCCACAAGTAACCGAATTCACAAACACAATGAGTAACTGCCTGTTGCTACCAGCAATATCTAAACCTACAAGAATACCCAAGACAAGCACCTCCTTAATAGACCACATCTGGACAAACACCATATCCCCTTTAAAATCAGGCACAATCACAGACAACACTACAGACCACTACCTAACCTTTCTCATAACTAATCTGGGCAAACTGCCACAAGACATTACTAAAGTAACCTTCAGACTACATACTGAGACAGCAGTTAACAACTTTATAGCAGCTATGAATAACATCGATTGGTAAAATGAGCTCGAAACATGTACAGATATGAATGAATGTATAAATAATTTTCTAAAAAATGCCCAAAGCCTCTATAATAACATTGCCCCAAAAAACCTAAACAGATCACAGCAAAGAAACTGAATAAGCCCTGGCTAACACCAAGCAACCTCAAATCCATTAACACAAAACACAAATATGAAAAACAGTAAAGAATGGCTCAAATAACTAGAGAACAGTCTAAACGTTACTCGTCAGCACTTACCAGCCTGATAAGATCTAAAAAATTGTTTTATGAAAATAGATTACGTACATAACATCAAAGGTGATATGAAAAAAACCTGGAAAACTATCTGAAATTCTTGGAAATAAAAAGTTATCCAAAAACAAAACAAAACAATCAAACTAACAAAATCAGATGAACCCCTACTCGCACCAACTGAAACTGAAGAGACTTGATGTGTCCTTCTCCACCATAAGAAAAAATCTAGCGAAAAAAATACCAAGCGCAAACACCCGTCCATCAGACTACCTCATAGGTACCTACCCGAATACGCTATTCCTAGCTCCAACGAACCCCATAGAAGTTACACTCATCATAAACACCCTTAAAAACAAGGCAGGAGACAAACAACTTGCCTACTTTTATGTACAAAAAAGCTTCTCAAGCATTGTCACCAATTATTGCAACGCTCTAACAAATATATTGAATCATCTACCTTCCCAACAATCCTCAGAATAGCGAGGGTCACTCCGATCCACAAAGGAGGCGTCCAAGCTGACTTGAATAACTACAGACCAATATCTAACTTACCACTGCTCTCTAAAATCTTTGAAAAATTAATTCATAGACGGATCTATTCCTACCTCGTCTCACACAACACATTAAACCCTTGTCAGTTTGGATTTAGGAATAAAAGCACAAATGATGCTATCATACATATGATAGAACTAATATATACCGCCACTTGAAAAGAAATTAGACCCACTGGGCATTTTCATTGATTTACATAAAGCTTTCGATACAGTCGTCCATGAACTGCTGTACTCCAAATTAACGCACTAAGGTATCAGAGGCCACTCCCTTAACTACCTAAAAATCATTCCTTAGTAGCAGAACTCAATATGTGTATGCAAATGATGCAAACTCTTCCACCCAACCCATCACAGTAGGAGTCCCACAAGGAAGTGTCCTTGGACCACTCCTCTTTTTCATCTACATCAATGATCTACCGAATGCATCACAGCTACTCAAACCCATATTATTTGCAGATGACACTACATATGTCTTTTCCCACCCAGACACAGTCATACTAGCTAACACAGTCAATGCTGAATTACAGAAAATATCTGCCTGGATGATGACTAAAACTTACCCTGAACACTGATAAAACCTATTTTATTCAGTTTGGAAACAAAGCTGCAAATGATCCAATTAACATAACGATAAATGGATCATCAGTCACAAGATTCACAGAGGGAAAATTCCTAGGTATCCACCTTGACAGTAGCCTTAAGTTCCAGACACACATACAACAAATCACCAAGAAAATCTCCAAGACTGTAGGCATACTATCAAAGCTAAGGTACTACGTTCCACAGTCAGCTCTCCTGGCACTGTACCATTCACTCATATACCCTTATCTTACATATGGAATTTGTGCATGGGGATCAACAACATCCAATCACCTAAAACCCCTAATAACCCAGCAAAAGGCAGCAGTAAGAATAACAAATTCTCACTCCTGCAAGCATACTCCACCAATTTTCAAAAGTTTGAATCTGCTCACCATTAAGAACATCCATACTTATTCATGTGCCTACTACATACACAGAACAATACACGCAAATATAAACCCTCCACTCAAACTTCTCCTCACCAACCTAAACAGGATGCATGACCACAACACAAGACACATCTCTTTTTGATATACCTCGTGTCCATATCACACTGTAAAAACTCTATGCAAATACGAGACGTTACTGTGAATTTCATATAACCTGTAGTTACCAGCGGTCGCAATATACACAACGAGAAGCAATTATTACTACAGAAAAAGCGTCCTTCCTCCAAAATTTGCACCAGTCAACTATAGTGATAATATAGCATTTATTGTGGTGGAGACGGAAAAAAAAAAAAATAGAAAAGCCAGATACAGCGATTGATAAACAAGGGTGGAGGTCGACCGTTCGTCATTGTAGGAGCTGCCAGATATCACCGGCTCTTCAACACGCAAGTTATACTTTTGTATCAGTCAAATCATATATTACTCGGGTAGATAATTTCCAGTAGATCCTTCATGTGTTAGCTCAAATCACCGACCAGTATGTTTTAAATAAGTGACCCTCTGATCAGAGCAGATCGACTGGTCCGAACCCTTGACTGGTCCGAACCCTTGACTGGTCCGAACCCGGGACTGGTTTCAAACAGTTTCGTTGGACAATAAAGCAGACTGTAAACGGATGGGGTTGTAGGCGCCCTTGTAAACACAAACATTAAAAATCAGGAACGTGACGGTAAGCTGTCCAATATACAAAAAGAGTTAGAAACAGAAATACAAATAGCTAGAGCTTCATTTAAGGTTATTAATATAATATTCAAGGGTTGCTAGTAGAATTGCAGTAAATCAACATTCAAATCTTTTATGAAGCTGTGTGTAGTCTGTGGTCAGTCAAACAAACGGGCTTCCACAGGGATAAATTGTCATTTTTGTGGAAATTGGTGTCACGTCCTTGTGCAGATACCCCAAAAACTAGTACAAGCAGTATTAAAACAGGGAAGTGCTTTTGGGTATGCCCAAATGAGGAAAATCTGTGGACTAAATCACAAGGGTTATTAAAAGAGGACAACATCAAAGCTGCTTTCACAGAAAACCTGGAAGCTTTCTAAAAACAGATGGGAACATAAAAGTCTGGGCTGAATGGTTACTGCCCTTGATACTGGCCATGTAGTCACAAACTGTAAGGCTGGAGGTGATGTCCAGGTAATCAGTAAATGTGGGGTGATAGTGCTGTCCTGGGAGACAGTAATGGTGAAACTGGAGATGCTGTCCTGGGAGACAGTAATGGTGAAGCTGGAGGTGCTGTCCTGGGAGACAGTAATGGTGAAGTGGAGGTGCTGTCCTGGGAGACAGTAATGGGTGAAGCTGGAGGTGCTGTCCTGGGAGACAGTAATGGTGAAGCTGGAGGTGCTGTCCTGGGAGCAGAAATGGTGAAGCTGGAGATACTGTCCTGGGAGACAGAAATGGTGAAGCTGGAGATTTTGTCCAGGTAGTCGGGATTATACGCAGGAAGGAATACTTTAAATGACCTCATAGGGGACAGGAGCCATAGTAGGGAACAAGGTGTAGTCAAAGATAAGAAAAAACCCCAATATTGCAAACTAGAAATACCGCAGGAAATAGCAAACAAGAGGACTCCAATAGCAATAGTGAGGATAAATTACCAAAAAAAACTGGTGGGAGCTCCATTGTTGGTGCTAGGGAGGATAGAAGTAAGACAGGGAAACGTGCACCAACAGGAATACAGTCACAGAAACCCAAGGCAAGCGGAAACCAAGCTGTGCACATACTATGCACTTGGTATCTGCGGGCATGGGAAATTGGAAAAAACAGATGGGACATGCAACTATGACCACCCTAGAAAATGCCATGCCCATAGGGAAAACAGGAAAATGCAAACTCCCTTCCTGTAAGCTTTTTCACCTGAAATGTGTACCTCTTCAGTACAGGAAAGACTGTGCTATAACTTAAATTGCCAGGCATACCATCTAAAGGGGACAAAAAGATACAAACATCCAGGCCATGGGAAAACC